TAGATTTTAGAAGGGCTAAATATACGTAGACTCAGAGGAAAATCAAAGTCACAAAGCACAAATTTTCGTCTGGAATTTAATAGCTCCACTTTTCGCGCCCTATGCAAAGTCTTCTTTTGCCACACGAGGGTTTAGCCGAAGTTTGGGCCATGTCGGCTAAATTAACAACAACAGCAGCAAAGAGGATAATGGCAAGCAATCAAACAGATCAAACTTACTTTTTGGCTAGAGTTCGTGGATTTGGCTTGAGAAGATCTCCAGGTTTGGTGTAAACGTGTTTAAGAGGAACGTTCCTGCCAAAACGGTAGAACCGGCTTCCGGCAGTGGTGTTATTAAGATCATTGCACGTCCCGTCGATTGTTCGAGCTTTTTTCATTTCCTTCGTGCAGACATCTTCAAGAAATAAAATAACAAAATAAAATGAAACGAAACGAAACGCCGTTAACGTAAAAAAAAGTCTGAAAAGTTTAATACGTGGTGCAACAAAGTACGATAATTAAATTAAAACAAAGATAAAGGGACAATGAAAATGAGAGGACAGTAAAAAAATTATGGAGATAGAAATCACTAGGACTTGCTCAACAGAGAATAAACCTCTCTTTCTTCAATGTCAGTGTACTTAAAGTTAAAAAATCGATCAAAGAATTGAAAGTGATGAGGATGGTGGTGCGCTTATTCGAAGCAATCAAGTAGGACGAAGCAGTGGGTGCTTATACATGGAAAGGCGCTGATTTTAGGAAGTCTAGGCATCCACGACAGGAACAGCTACGGGAAAGTCAATAAACAGTTTAGTGAAGAAATAAAATTGACTTCACGTAATCGCCATGAAGGGTAAAGAACACGATTGCACTTAATAAATTACGTTTTTTGCTGCAGCTATATGGACGCTTGTGGTATTACAACTTACCATCAATTCAAACATGTCGCCGTTTCTGATTGGCTTTAATAATCCCCGGTAAATAACCGCCTCCTTCATCCGCATTATTCTTACTATCATACTAAGCTTCATTTAATAATTTAATTCAATGTTTTTAAAGGTGACGGACTCACATGTATTGTAGAGTGAAACATGGTGAGAGCCACCACAACGCAATTTCTTCTTAACGCCTTTGCACTTTTTTCGACATTCACATTCTTTAACTTTCTTTGCTGATTCAAGGTTTACACCACAGTAGCATCTAAATTAAAAAATGAAAGAATGTTTCGCAACAGTGTTAAATTTCTGGTAAATATTTTAAATCCCCTGGTACGAATATTTGTCAGTTAAGTAACGAAAAATTTTTGCTTTTGTAAGGTGTAAATTGATATATTCCCTTCTCATTCGATCTCATGGAAATCATGTTTGCAAATCACAGCCGAACCTTCTTCCTATCTTCCCCAGGACCATTACGATATAAGAAAGAATAGGCGAATATTAGCCTATCCTTTCTTATATCGTAAGGCTGGGAAAAGTATACCCTTTCGAGCGTACCCTCTCCGTAAAGGCCATTTAGGGAGTACCAACTGAGATTAAAGAAAGTTTCATTGGTCACAAAGATTTCACACTTAACGCACGCGGCAATCAGGGGCTTAGCCAAGTTTTTTACTACTGTAGTTATAGGCCTGGCTGACTTTCGTTTCCACATATCCTGAAAATTGCACGCATGACTAGTACGCAATGACCTCGCCAACACTTTGACATGGCTCTTAAGCTGTTTAGCTCCATCCCAACAACCCATAGTTTATTACAAGCGGTAGAGTGATCAAACCAAAAATTTGTAGGCCCGGGCCTACAGGTCTATGGGCTTGCTACGCCCCTGGCAATCAAAACTTTTTAACACAGACCTCTGTCAAACAGATACTTCGCTCTGTCTATTTGCTGCCGTTATTAAAAGGGCTGCGTCATGGCTGTCTAGTTCATTGGGTTGGTATTGCCAATAAAGCTTCGTATCAGGTTCCAAGTTGTTCAAAAGGTGGATATTACGCTATCCACCCGATAAATCTATATCCAGTGGATATGTATTAGGGAAACCAACTGCACTATCCACTGGATAGTGATCTATCCGTTGGATAGCGCTATCCACCGGATAAATCTCTATCCTCTGGATAATGCAATTGATTTCCCTAATACTTATCCGTTGGATAGGGCCATCTAACGTTTTGAACAACCGAAGCCAGATAAACGTCTCTCCCAAAAGATTATATATTTATCGTCATAAACAACAAATATGAACTTTGCAAAACTGTTGGACTGACAAGTTATCAAAAAACTCAGTGCAACTGCAATCTGTTTTAAACTTCTCCTTGAAGTTTATTCATCCCTCTCTTTTTTGTTGCTGTGTTCTTTATACTTTCTTTTGTTTTGAGCTCTCACAGTTCGAATTTTGATCAATTCTTTGACACAGCTCCTATTTTTAAATGACTGTATAAAATTTTACCTGTCCCCTTTTGATAAGGCTGCATATGGAAGCATTTTACTTTTACAATGAGCAACGCATTTCTCGGGAGTCACTGACGATAAAGACTGTTGGACAAAGTCGTTGATATTATGATCCAAAATGGACTTCTTAAAGCATCCCATATAGCCATCGCCTTGTGAGACAAATAGATAAAAAATGGTTGATAAGATAAATAAATGCTTTTTTCAAAAACTGAATGATATAGTCATTAGGACGCCTGGTTTGTAGCTCTAACCGTATGGGCTGGGGTTAACTGTAACTAGAAAGCTTTAAGGATTTTAAGACGATTACGACTACGAGTTCGAGATTTTCTCAATAGTCAACCAATACCAGCCTAGTCCCTAGGCGTTCTCTCTTGCCCCGTTGTCCGCGCGAGTATCTCTCGGTGACGTCACAGCTCAAGGTAGAGTCCAGGATTGACCGAGCCGAGAACGCCTAGGGACTAGTCTGAGGCTGAACCAAAAAGTAGTGCACGCTCGTGAGTGGTAGCCGTCGTCATTCTATTACGAGTTTTTACGCGGATGTCGTGGTGGCGAAAACAAGATATCAAATGTTAGAAGTTTTATCATTTTGCTATCGGGAGAGCGCGAAACGGCCTCCTTCACTAAAGATAACAATGCCCACTTTTCTAGTGAATAATGGTAAAATGAAGCTTTCTGGGAAGTCTATATTTTGAGAAGACGCGAAAAAACTTCAAATCAAATCTCGCAGTCGTCCTCGTCCTCGAATCATATTCTTTTAGGTCTGTAATGAGAAGTCCTCGTAACTACGACCTAGATTTAGCACGTGAGAGATCATCCTAGTTATGTAGGGAACATTAAGTAGTTGGAAAATGAAAGCCTTAAAAAATTGAGGATTGAATAGGATTCGAACCCGTGACAAACTGAGATATACCGGTGCAGAGCTCTTATCAATTAGCGATCAGCTGGCCCGGGTTGCTCGAAGCATGGTTAGTGCTAACCACCGTTAAATACCATGGAAACCTATACATTTTGATACCTCTTAACCAACGGTTAGCGCTAACCAGGCTTCGAGCAACCGGCCGGTTGCTCGAAGCCTGGTTAGCGTTAACCAGCGTTTAATACCTTGACAACGTATTGGTTTTGATACTGCTTAACCAATGGTTAAAGCTAACCATGCTTTGAGCAACTCAGCCCAGGCCAACTTGGAGCTGTCAGATACCCCCAGAGCGCACGTAAAAGACTGAGATGAATATATCAATGTGAGTTAAAAAAAATTTCAGATATCTGAGCTGCAAGAGAAAGATTTAGCACGCGAAAGATCATCGCACCTTTTAGGTTACGCAACCAGCATGTCGGAGCGAAAAATTTCAGGCCTGAATGGGGTAAAAAGCCATTCTTTTAAAAAATCTCTCTCTCCCTTAGTTTAAATATAGGATATTTCATACACTCACTTTAAAGACTTAGATTAACACTTAAACTGCCCTTCACCCTGAACTTGGCTCAAGAATATACCTACCCAACACTGGATCATTACATCTCCGTTTGACCTGAGGTAGAGGGTTTGGGTAAGAATCAAATATGGCATTATCCAGCAGGCGTTCCCTTACAAACAGCGTGTAAGCCATTGTCAACACCATCGGCATGTGCCACCATACGTAACCTTTATACAGGTAATACTTGATCAGTTGTGACAGGTACAAGAGCCCAGGATCCATGCTGATGATAGACAGCGGTCGCCTCTAGAAAGACACTGCTGCAAGGAGGAATTTTATAATTAGCAAAATTGCTTAATGCAGACACTTTGAGTCATGATACATAGAAAAGAATTTGAATCATAAAAGGCTCCTTTTTCGACGCGCCAAACAGACTATGAAGCGTGAATGAAAGTACACGTGCCCTGAACCCGTGCCTCCCACCTCAGCGCTGTGCTGGGTACCGGGAAAGAGGCCAGGGGAAAGTCAACGCATTTTTTTTACAGTAAAAGGATATCACTAGTTTTAAATAAAATTACAGATTTTATAAGCAAAGTTGGGCACCATTGAAGGTAATTGTATTCTTAGTACAATCCAAATTAGGTGACATAATTGGGGGGGAAGGAGGGAGCAAGAGATGTTTTTTTTTCCAATTCTCACTTTTCGCCCACTCGCTCAGGCTATCATATATCCACACGCATGATCCAGTTCGCGTGTTTATCACTGCGGCTCTACGTAAAACAAATCAGCGATAGTAGGGTCTTTTCTTATATGGCTCCTTACATAATGGAAACAAGTTTCTCTATCAGACTGTTTTCCTCCCAAACTACGGACACCTGACTATTTCTCTTTCCAGTATCCGCATTAAGGAGGATGTACTGCAAAGTTGCAAAGTGTATTCTTGATATTTCAGGCGGTCGATTGAATAAAGATGAGGGAAGGTCGTTACTTGTTCGTAGGTTGACATCTGATTTAAGTGTCTCGAAATTAAGATTAAGTATACCAATGCACAATGAAATAATGGAAACTAATACTGAAACCAATAATCGGCAAAAAAACTCAAGTAGCTTTTTTCTCTTCTTCTTTATATTACAACTGCGAATAGTCTAAAATATCGCATCTTTTCAAATTTCATTTAAAGTTAACCGTCAATTTAATTTTGAGGAAATCGAGAAACTTACTTTGAAATAAATCTCAGACTACTCACGATAACGTTAAATTTGACTTGGAATCGCAAGATCATCAATTAATGGCGGTACAGAAAGGTTATCTTCTGGGGAAGCCGGGATTGAAGATGTTTAGTTCAGTTGTGTAACCTGATAAGAGAAGCAAGGTTGCTAAAGACAAGAATGGCTTAAGCCCTCCAGTTTTTCTAATTAAAATATTTAGTTAACTCGCAATGTTTTGAAAGGCCAGGATCAAACAAACTCAACAGAACACCTTCACAAACGTCATACAGATGGCACTAATGCAACCACTTACGGAAGCAGTTTCCTTAGACAGGGAAACATGAGTTTATCGATAGATTCTCTTAACAAAAATATTATAAACATATTATAAACGGCTAAAAAGAATAATTAAGCTTGAAAAATGAGGGAACACGTAAATTAGAAGCGGTCAGTTACTGTACCGCTATGAGGAGAGGGTTCTTGTAAAAAATATAGTTATTGATTAATACCTGCTACTGTCATAGTGGCTCTAATTTTGCGAGCTATGAGGCAAGTAGTTTTGCCGTACTTTTGCCCCCATTTAACGCGAGAATTTCTCTAGTTTTTTTTAACGTTTGCCGGTTTAAACCCCCAGATTACTGAAATATAAAAAATAAAATATTTTTAGTACACTGACCCCGACTTATTTCACTCTTCCCTAGACTCGACAATTCTGGCCAATCGAAAGTATATTTCATTAAATCACAGTGTTCGAGTTTTCCCCGAAATAATAGGACTGGCTTTTTTTACTCCCGGCAGTTTTGAATTCTTTGAGAACGGTTCTGTTTGTAGTAAATAGATTATTGTTCAGTTTCAAAACCATCACATGTCCTGGCCAATCAATTCCTTTTTTCCTTTTTTTGAGTCGAATCGTAGTTACGTATTGAAGTTGAGTACTCACCAGCAATCGGAGCAAAAAAGCGGTGAATTTAACAACTTGGCTTCGATGCTTAGACGTTCTTAATAACCGCTTATCCAGGAAATCTGAGCAGTCTAAAAAAAAACTGACGCAAATTTTCAGAAAAGAGCAATTAGAAACTGTGGTATGGATTTCCGGCACTCCTCGATAATTGGCTTTACTGTTCAAATAATTTGTTAAGAAACTTAGTTCCTGCGACGCTCAAACAAAAAGCATTGTATATCATAAAAGCATCGTGAAGCTGTCAGTTTACTTACGTCTTTTCTATTTACTGTAAATATCTAATAACGTAAAAAAAGTGTTTCGAGATTGCTTGGCAACAACAAATTACTAAATTTTACGCACTTTCTGACATCATAAAACTTATGAATGCTAACAATGGCCAATCAGAAAAAAAGTTGTACTGATCGGGCCGCTTTTAGAAGAGAGTTTTACCCAAGATCTACCCGGAGCAACTTTGCTCCACTGACGTTACGTTTTGACAAGAGCCATTATCATGATTATGGCTCTTGCTTTTGAGTAAGAAGTTTTGCAACTTTATCTCCTCCAGTATGAGGTGAAATTTAAAAAGCATTAAAAATCCTGGCTTACGAATTGGTTCAAAGTTGATAAAATCGCTGATCTGAATGAAAAAAGATCATAATCAAGCATATCACCAGATTAAACATTTTTCGTTTAAAAAGCTTTAAAACAATAATCATTGTTGTCAATTTGAACCAAGTTTTCGTTTACTTACAGAGAAAACAATTTTTAAAGAAAATCTCTTCATTTTCTAATTAATTAAACGGATTGACAGTGGATGTCAACTAACAAAAAGCCCTATTTGCATCTGTGTTAAGCACTTATGACGTGGAATCGGATTCTTAGACTGCTCGTCAAATGACAGTTTATGAGGTTATAAAATTGCATTTTATCCTTTCAAATATCACTGTAAAGCTGTTATAGTCTTTTAGCAGCTATCATGAAGCATCCTGATTTCAGTTTTCCTTTTTTGGGTGTTGTAAGTGTAGGAAGTTGTCAACGACATCGTATGGAAGACACAATCAGTATTGTCCGCAAAATTAACTTTAAATTAAAAGGCCGAATCTTTTAACCCCAAACGGAAATGGATTCGTTGAAAATGACAATGGTTTTGATTCGTTTCGTTTGGCGTACAGTAACATCATGAAATAAGACTTCTTGGAATTAAAATGTTGGTACCACAACGACTCATCGGGAAACGTCACACTCCTTTTTAAGGCTTCCGGTCCAATGAGACACCCTTTTCAGAACTCTAAATAGAGAAATTTTATACTCGTTTAAGACAAAATGGATTGTCGCCAGGGCCTTTTTTGAAAGTGATTAAAAACCCGTAATCACAAAAATACTCTTAACTCGCGCTAGTACACAACAAGACAGAGGCACCCAAGCAGAATGTAGTTCAAAATCACTTAAACATAACATTGTTAAACGTATTTTAGTATTTAAACGGTAGATATAGGCATATTTTTATCCCTCTAAAAATTTCTTATCTATTCGGATTTCCTAGCTGAAAGTCTAGTGATCCGAAAATTATGGGGATCAAAACTTACCTTTTCGAACATTTCAGCCAGAGAAAAGGCTTCCGAAAATTCTAAGTGACCTTTTTAGTGTAAAAATCTGTTAAAAATGGGCAGTTGTAGCATTTCGTAGATGTTCGAAAATCCTAGGAGAGGCGGGCAAGCAAGAAATTGTACAACAAATGTTCCGAAAATTCTAGATCTCCAATCGTCTTCGGAACAGATATTTTCCGAATATTAACGTTGGGTGCCCCTGACAAGAACGTTACTCATATCACGTCTAACATGGATCGTGTCTCGAGTCCGGATATAGAGGCAGAGTCATGTTTTTAAGACCAAATTCAGCACTGAAGCAAACACCACCATCTCCTTGGTATTACCAGAAACCTTACTCATGCGCACAGCCAAATCAACCTGGCAGCGGCGGCTATGGACAGCTCTTTCGTTTTCATTAAGACTTACAAGTATGGCACAGCCCCAGGTGAGAGGTTTCTCTTGCAGTCTACCGCTGCCACTGCCCGGATAATATGGCTGTGCGCAAGCGTAAGATACTGGCAAGTGTTTGCTTCTGTGCTGAATAAGGTCATGTGTTTAAGGCAAGGACCTTTCTCAAGTAACGGCATGTTCGAGTCACAGACCACCCACGTCAACACAGGAGCTTAGCCGAGAATACCACGACTTCTATAATGTCACAATTGATTCAGGATTTAGTGTATGACAAATGCACTGACTGTAAATCGACTTCCGGACCTGCAGACGGCGACAACAAAGAGGTCTTTCCAAATTCTAATAATTCTAATAATATCGTTAAACTTCTGTATTTCTATACTACTTCCGAAATGACAGCAATTTTAGTTCGTCCGGAGCACAGACTTCGTATAGACTTTGCATTTGACACCTTCCGAAGATGAGGTAAAATAGCAAAGAAATCGCAGTTCAACTTAGCAAATAGGCCTAGTGTGAGATTTTTAACTAAATAACAATTCTACGTATGACATAAATATGATAGGAGGTTACATGTTCGGTTACACCCGCGCGAGTAGCCAAAGGTTGACACTAACCCTAACCCTACCCCTACCCTAATCCTAACCCTAACCTTACCCTAAATCAGCATTTATTAAAAAAAAAGACAGACCCCGGCCCCGGCCCCGGCCCCTACCCCTCGTTTTACTGACAACCAGATTTAACCACTACCTGGTTAACTTAGTTAGGAGAGTGCCGGTCTGTTGAGCGGGAGGTCGCGGGTTCAAACGGCCCGGCCGGAACAACACTTTCAATAAATGAGAGGAAAGTGCTGCATTTGTAATGACATCAGCAACTGCAAACTGTTAGACTTCCTAGTCTTCTGGGATAAGGAAGAAAAAACGTAGGTTCCGTCTCACAGCGCTTTCATTTATCTGGTTCTGGGGACGTAAAAGAACCCACACCACTGCTCGAAAAGAGTAAGGGACGTAGACCCCGATGTTGTGGCCAATCTTTCTTGGGCTGGGTGGGTTACCTGAAAGGAGAGATCTTAATACAGGGAATAACCCCATCTTCAGGTGTCGTAATGGCTACCTGTAAACTGTGTGGACGGTATGTTAAACTGCATAAAAAAGGTTTAATGGTTTCGATTTACGGTCTTTGGCGGGAAAATGGCCCATACAGATGGGTACCCGCCGCAGAAGATTAACTGCAAAATCCAATTTTTAGTTTATAACATAACGAAATTAATAAGTAATTTTGAAAGAGTATGCAGTAAGAGATTATTCGATTGGTTCAAAAGATATGGCATTTTGTAATTTACCAGTGTTACTAAAAACAGAAACCAGTGGCGTAAAATTGGAAAATCAGGATCACTCATTTTAAATTCTTACAGCGTAATCTTAGAGACGTTTTCGTAGATAAAATAATTAAGATTTTTGGGAAAAGAAATTTCTGTCATTGTACAAAGTTTGAACTCAATCGGAGGAAAATTGCAAAACAAGCTTGGAAATAATTTCGGCTCACCCGGGCGTGGAACGCTTAAGCATTTTGATCCTAATGAAAGAAAAAAGCTCCTGATTCGGTTTCGGCACCTGATTGAAACTCTGAAAGAGGTCCAATGTTTTCGTGGCTTTCGTTGAATTAAATATACTTCCCGTCACGAACTGTATATTGCATTAGCGACGTATCAGAATCAGTGCAGGTGCAATGTAAGCGCAAACACAAGCCATGTCAAGAAACCGCTTTAGGATTGTCATTGTTTTTGTGTTTGTGCTCATTAGGTATGCACTTTAGCATGACCGGCCAATTAAATCACTAGTGCCAGCTTCACTCGTATAAGTGCGCTTTCCCGCTATTTTGGCACAAAATAGTAATGAAGGAATCAAGTCAGGCTTCAATAATAACTTTTGCTCAAAGTTTCAAAGAGAAAATTTAATTGGGTTTTACAGACAACAGAGAACTAGGTCCTACAGTTGTAAAAAAGGGTGTTGCTTTAAAATTGTTTGAAGATGAGTAAGCCAGAAACAGCGGAAAAAACCTTCCATTTATTTCACCGTCGAGTACGTAATCACAGCTACTGTTTTTGTTGACTTTGTTAGATCCTCGTTATCAAGCTAAAAAACTGAGAATTTGCTTCTCCATTCGAAAGTTTAAAAATTATTGTGTCTAAGCTTTTGCTTTACGCCGAGATCCGTTTTCATTTGACCAAGACTCAAATGCGCGCCATTCTGTTTGCTTTTATGCTTTTTTTTCAATGATAAGGAGGCTTCAGCTGAGGCTCAAGTTCCGGTTTATGGCCTTATTATCACAGTAAACATCGTTGTCGACCTGTTAGAAGCCAAACCGTCTGTTAGTACCTTAGTATTAATAAAATCAGAAATTTCACTTTCGCTGAACCAAAAAGGTACTCTGATCTGCGGCCAATATAGAAACTATCTGTAGACAACAAAAGAAGACTGATTTTCGTTTGCTTAAAACAAGTAGGCAAACTATTACAGAGAAACGTGAACGTCACTGATAAAAGAAATCTATGTTAGTAATCGTTCAATGTAATAGAATGAAGTTCTTTGTTTTTAAGAGTTACCATTAAATACACTTACCTGACCTCGTGGTAACGGTTTTTGTGGTGGAAAATTAACTCTTCTGTGGGAAACCTTATCGAGTTTACTGAAAGGGTAACACATACATGCAATATATTACATATTTCTAAAAGAACTTTTATGTGATGGGAGTTGACTATAGGTTGTTGCATGGGTTGTCACGGCAACTTCTTGTGCTCTGAGATAATTTATCTCAGGGCGATCGTTTATTCTTTAATCCACTCTCTACCACAATTAACTACCATCTGTGTGAACTGGCACAAAAGTAAGCGCATAGAACCACAATTTTAGCAAGAAGAGTGGAGAAATATATTTTGATAGCGTAAATGCTTAAACGATTACTAATTGCAGTAAGCCAGAAAATATATTAAATAGGAGTTCGGCATTTATTTTTCCTTTCATTAGCTGAGCCGGTTATTGTTTTCAAATTGGTCTACTTTA